CCAAAGATTTGGATTAATTCTTCTGATCCAAATTATACAAGATATCACTCTAATAACAACAATATTCATGACATTTTATAGTTTAAGTACTGATGTTCCTTGATTAAATGAGCAGCTAAGTTGACCAATATTATACAGTTAGCCAGGATAAAAATAATTAAGCAATATCTATATTTTCCTAAAGAAATGGACAATACTACAATGACTCCTTCTAGAGTTCAATTTTCATTTCTAATCATTAAAAATTTTTGGGGGCCTCTTTTTGAGACAGGGTCTCCCTGTAGCCCAGCTGACCAGGAACTCGCTATGTAGACGCTAAGTTGACCAATATTATACAGTTAGCCAGGATAAAAATAATTAAGCAATATCTATATTTTCCTAAAGAAATGGACAATACTACAATGACTCCTTCTAGAGTTCAATTTTCATTTCTAATCATTAAAAATTTTTGGGGGCCTCTTTTTGAGACAGGGTCTCCCTGTAGCCCAGCTGACCAGGAACTCGCTATGTAGACCAGGTTGGCCTTTAACGAGATCTGCCTGCCTCTGCTTTTCAATTGCTGGTATTAAAGGTGTGTGCCACCATGCCCAGCTGAACGTTTTTAAAAAGGCAGTTGGTTAAGCCTTTAAGACCTAAAAAGTTCCAGTTTCCTAACAGGTTTGATCTCTTGTTTCTATCAATGTTATTAATATTTGTTATGTAAATGAAGACATTCTTGTTATATGAAAGTTTGAAGAATAATGTATTATTATGTAATTTCTTCTATAATACATTTCATTTATTTTTCAAACTAAGTCTGGTATGATGCTAATATAGTAAAAGAGATGAAATCATTATCCACAGATAGGAACTACTGAAGTTAGAGCTAGCCACTCCATGAGGATATAGCTATAAGGTCTAACTGATGGAAAGAAAACCAAACAAGAAAAGAGTAGATTTGTTTAAATATTCCAAATAGAAATAAAATCATTCACAGAGTAAAGATAACTGTAAGTACAGGGGGAATCTAGTCAATCTCATTTTTATTTTAATGTTTGTTGCCTCAATCTGTTACTTGAACCCATTCACAAATTATCTGGGGACATCTTTAACTCATAAATAGCCACACCTTGACTAACTCTGTTTCTGAATTAAAATTCTTGTGACTAATAAAATGTATTTACTCAATAAATAACCAGATCTCACCAAATCAAAGACTAAGAATGTCATCAAATAGGATCTGAGATCTTTAGTAGAACACCCTGCTCCCTTTACTATGAGCAGCCTACTGAATATATCCACCAATGTATTTTCAAAGTGTCTTTTATTTATGACTTTTCTTTCTCCTGTTGCTATAAAAATGTAACTGTTATCACATTGGAACATGTAATTTGGCATAGCCTGAATCTGTGTTTCTGGGTCATGGTCACTCTTATTTGGCTACAGAATAAACTATCTCTAATCCCCTTTAAGGTAAGAGTTATGTTTTTGCAAAGACCTGGTGAGCATCTTAAGACTTCAATACCTGATCGGACAGATCAAGCAAATTCTATTTGGATGCCAATCTCCTTGGAGTTGGGCAGAATGTGTTCAAGGACAGGCTAGGAAGAGGTGTGCATCTCCATCACTACAGCTTCTCTTCACTTAGGACTCACAGGTGGTCCTAACCAATCAGGGCTTTCCTGCCATGCTGCCGAATCAGAATCAAACACTGGTCATGGGAGGTGGGCCTTAATCCAGCCGCCATGTTGTGGCTTCTGCCCTGTAGTTTGGTTTGGTAGATGAAGAATACGCAGGGAGTGCTGCGATGGGAGCGGAGCGGAGGAGAGCGCGGGCAAAGCCGCAAGACCGGCATGGTGAGCGTGGGGCGGGAAGTGTCCTTATGGGAGCTTCCAGAGCGGGCTGTGCTGGGTCCTCCCCGGGCGGGGGCGGCAGCCAGACAGGCGTCCTATCGGATCGGGAGACCAGGCTGCCGGTGAGGCCGCCGGTGGCGTTTCCTGCTGCAGCTGCTTCTGCGCCTGGGCACTGAGAGGGAGGCTCCGCATGCGCGGGCAGCTTCAGTGTCCGGACTGTCTAGAGCTTGGGATCGTGCTGTTGTGCTGTGTGGACAAGTGTTAGGGGAAGTGAAGAGTAGAGTCTGAAAGTTGTTAGAGTTTGAGGAACAGAGAAAGGAAAAAGTTTATATAAAGGACCAAAACTAGATCTTTCAGCAGATCTTTCAGCGAGGTGGCACAAGATGAAAGATTGTTCTAGATTTTATGTTGCTGGAAATAAAGAGCATACACAGCTGTGGAGTCTGAGTGAAGGAGTCTGAGTGAAGGTGTCCTTGGGCTGTTTTCTTGGAGCCGCTTGCTTGAGCAGAACAAAGCAGCTCTTTTAGCTTGGTGTGGCTAACTGATAACAGGGAAGCAGGACCAGCAGAGAAACATCTTGGTAGGAAGCATGAGTTGTCTGGGCATCTGTGCCACTGCATCAGACGTCAAGGGAACACTGGGAATGGAAAGGAAAAGGGCTTGCAGCTGGCTAGGAGATAGGCAAGCTGACTGGGGAAGAGGAATAATGGAGTGGGGAAAGAGTAGCAGCCAGCCTGGACCAGTTCCATGACCCCTATGAACCCCTCCCGGAGGAACAGGTGCAGACACCTTTTCTGTTTACCCTAGTAAGTTCATCTAATATGCATGTTGACAACTCTCATCATATTCTTCAGTCTCATATAACACTGAATTTTGGGTAAAAAAAAATTCTTAAAAATAAGCCTCCAATAGGTGACCTGTCTATTGAAGAAAATGGGGTATTAAAGTCTCCCACTATCACTGAGTTGGTGTCAATCTCGGTTTTATAGTCCT